TTTTTAAAATTTATTTTGAATTTATTTTTTTAAATCGTCACCCAAGGATAGTTTTTCCATTGCTTTTCAGAGTGTGGAAGGGAGAGAGAAACACCAGTGTGAGAGAGACACATTAACTGGTTGCCTCCTGCATCGAGCCCACAACAGAGGTACGTGCCCTTGGCCAGAATCAAACCTGGGACCCTTCAGTCCACTGAGCAAAACAGGCTAGGGCTGTAACGAGTCTTTCTGAACATGTAATTTCACAAATGTATGAATGAACTTGAGATATTGCCAAAATACCCCATAGAGATCAATGATTTTATATATCAGTATCAATTTCCACTGCCATTGGCAGCGCGGAGGCCCATTTCTTCCATATCAACAGTGTTATCAATCTTCAAATCTTAGCCCATCTCGTAAGTGAAAACTTGAGTTTAAGTATGCATTAAAAACCATGTGCATTTCATATCTGAAAACCGCCTCTATTAGTCAGCAGTTGGGAAAACAGAAAGCATTCTAGGTATCAGATGCAGGAAAGGATTTGGTACAGGTGCTTCCAAATCCTTGGAGGGGCTGGGTGAGAGGAAGGTCAGGGAAAGCCGCCAGTGAATTCAGGGAACCTTGCTGCAGGAATGACAGGAAACCACAGCTGATGATCTCAGCTGCTCGCTGCCCTGAAGCAGGTGATTATGGAGCGAGCCCAGGAGTTCCTGCAAAAGCTCACGTATGCCATGTGAGCAAACCCTCGCACCTGCCCTCTGATGCTGAAGGAACAATGGTGGCGTCTGTTCTCTTTTGTTTTCCAAATAGTACATGTACCTCTTGTTGGTCGATTGCAAATAAAACCCATCAGCAAGAGTCAAGGAAGTGTGGCTTCCAAGGCTCCTACGACAGAGTGAGCGTTGGGAAGGCAGGTCTAGTGCCGAGGATCAGCAGGCAGTGGCCGGCCCAGGCCACTCCTCTGGGTACTCAGCACTTACTCACGCCCTCCCAGCGAGGTTCAAACTTCCAAACGGGACCACGCTTCTGCCCAACATGCTGCAGCAACTATCCGTGCAATCGAGGCGTTTCCTCTTCCTACAGCGGCGAGATGATATCCTGTCAATCACTATCCGTCCCTGACGTCCATTCCTCTTCCAGTTCAGTCCAACCGCCTCTGCCATCCTGTAAGTTGAAGACTAAATGAAAGGGTTAACCCCCAACACACCCAGTATGAAATGGCCAAGTAAAAGCAGAGGAAGAAAAGGGTCAATACACAGAACAGGTGCATCACAAAGCAAGGGGGAAAAGACACGCGCTGTCACCAAGTCCCTGTTTCTGCAACTGCGTGCAAGGTGATAGTTGATATTTGTAATCCTAATTGCATCAGGACTCTGCCTGCTCGATGTTACCTCCACACACAGAAGTACGGAGAGGAGTCCAGAGGCACGCCTGCGGGTACGTGCGGCGCTGTATCAGGCAGACAAGGCAGCCCCTGCGCTGAGAATGTGGACAGTTCTGGACCTGGAGTCTGTGTTCTCGTGTTGCCTGGATGCTGCCGTCATGTGTCTTAAAGCAGCACTTGGTGAACCAAACTGCTTATCCTACTCAAAAGATCACTGAGATGGGTTACAGAGAGGATTTTATCAGGAAAAGCAGACCAGTAAGAAATAAACATAATCGCCCAGCCCGAGTGGCTCAGCAGTTGAGCATCGACCTACGATCCAGGAGATCGGGCTTCAATTCCCAGCCAGGGCACATGCGCAGGTTGCGGGCTTGGTCCCCAGTGGGGGGCGTGCAGGTGGCAGCCGATCAATGACAGCTCTCTCACTATTGATGTTTCTCTCTCTCTCTCCCCCTTCCTCTCTCTGAAATCAATAAAGACATATTTAAAAAAAATACTTTTTAAAAAAGTATACATATACAGAGATGACACAAATGTGTATGTATTATGGATACAGATAGAGCCAGGATATAAATATAATAAAATAATACTAACACCACTTCGTAATAAAAAAAAAAATTGAAAATGGAGACAAAATGGACTAAAAAATTACCATTAAAAAATGGAAAACTTGAACAGTCCTATACAATTAAAGAAACTGAGCAGAAACTGAGAAGATAGTTGCTGTTTTTTTAATGTATATACTGATTTTAGAGAGAGGGAGGGAAAGAACGAGAAACATCGATTTGCTGTTCCACTTATTTATACATCACTGGTTGCTTCTTGTATGTGCTCTGACCAGGGATCGAACCTGCAACCTTTTGGTGCATGGGAGGATGCCCAACCAACCGAGCCACACTGACCAGGGCTTATTTTTCTAGTTTCTTAAGGTAGTTTAGGTTATTCACTTGAAATAATTCTATTTTTTAATAAATTTTTTTATCCTCACCTGAGGATACGTTTTTGTTGATTTCAGAGCGAGGGAGAGAAGCATCGATGCGAGAAACACAGGCCAGTTGCCTCCCGCACGCACCCCGACTGGGGGCTGGACCCGCAGCCCTGGCACGTGCCCTGACCGACAATCGAACTCACGACCCTTCGGTGCAGGGAATGGCGCTCAGCCGGCGGAGCCACGCCAGCCAGGGCGGAAACGGTCCTTTCTAAATGTAGGGACATAACGCTTATCAAGTGCACTCAGCTCTGCTTTCACTGCGTCCCGTAAGTCACGTTGAGTCTCTCACTTCTCTCAAAGTATTTTCTAATTTCCGTGATTTCATCTTTGACCCACTGGTAATTTAGGAGTACGCTGCTTAATTTCCACCTATTTGTGAACTTTCCAATTTCCTTCTGTTATTAATTTCTAATTTCACTCCAATGTGTGGTCAGAGAACATATTCTGTATGATTTCAATCTTTTAAAATGTACTGTGACTTGTTCTGTGCCTGACATTCTGTGGACAATGTTCCAAGTGCACTGAGAAAAATGCCTTCTCTCACTGTTGGGAGAGTTGTGTATGTATGTTAGACCCAGCCGGTCTATACTGCTGTTCAAGTCATGTTTCCTTACTAATCCGTCATGTTCTTCCGTCTATTACTAAAAGTGGGGTATTGAAATTTCCAACAAATTTATCTATTTCTCCCTTCAATTGTGTCAGCCTTTGCTTCATGTACTTTGGGCTCTATTGTTAACAAAGGACAAACCTTTTACCATTACAGGTCTGTCCTTCGTCTCAAGCAAAAAAAAAGTTAGTTTTAAAGTCTAATTGATCCAGTTTGATTACTGTTTGCACAGAATATCGTTTTCCATTCTTTTACTTTTAGTCTATTTGTGTCTTTGAATCTAAAGTGAAAGTCTTGTGTAGATAACAGAGTCTGGACCAAGTTTCTAAGTCCATTCTGCCAATCTTATTTATTTTTAAATTTTTAATAATGTTTATTCTTAGCATCTTTCTTTGACGCACCTTCCAAAAGTCCTAAGGCTCTGCAATGTGTTTTGAAAAACCATTGATTTAACATATGCAGGAGTTACTTATAAAGGCAAAAACCCAAATTTATTTCAGAATTCTGTCAGCAACTTGCCAGGTGACCTAGAACCAGGTTCTTGTTATAATAAAGATGAAAAACATTATAACAGACAATGCTATCAGAATCACCATTTTAAAACAAGACATTTGGGATATATTCAGGGATCCTCTATCATCCTGGTCTAACACCCTCTGTACTAGTGTAACATGCAATGTGGAAATGGACCAACAGCAGCACCCACCTACCTGGAGTAGCGACTTTTAACTGCCATCGACCCCTCCTCCGATCCCGGCAACACCCTAACTTGATTTCTCGTGTTTGCCCTTCTCTCGAGTAATCAGGGTGAACCAGTTCTCCTGTCCACTAACTGGTTTAGAGAATGGGAACGTGAACCTCTGGACCAGGTTGCGTGAATGAGACGTGAAGAAATGTCTCTCCCGAAACTCTCCCTACCTCTGGACCTACTTTAAGAAATAATAAATCTCCCTATTAAGCACATCTGTATCAGGTTTCCTGTTTGGGCCCAAAATTATACACAACAGTTTGATTAAGTATTTCTCAATAGAATCAAAAAATAAGATTAACTTTCTGTTTTAATATTTTATTCAAAGACTTCAGTTTTAAACATTTGTAAGATATTCATCAATCCATTATTTTATTTTTAACATAATTTAACTTCAAGTGGCAGAAAAAACAAAAGTATGTAATGAGACTACATTTAGCGATGTATCTTTGAACAGGGAAACAAAAAAACTCACCACCACCAAAACCAACCAACCAACCAACCTAATTTACTAGGCATGCTGGTGTTTTATTCTCCTTTACATAATTTTTTGGGGAAAATTACACTTTCAAAGAATTAGCCCTCACAAGCAGAGCGGCTAATCTTTCCAAAAATATAATCCAGTATCTAGATTCCCAAAACTCAAAAAAAAACAAATGGAAATGTCTGGTTGTCAGCCAACAGTGTCACGCTCAGGTCAGTTTCACACCACAGGGGATGATCTAGAACTAATTTCAGTAGCAAATTCCAATTCTAAATACAACTAGAGACCACCACTGCTATTCCCAACTAGTTGACAACTGTCTTATTGCTGAATGGAACAGGATAAATTTTCTTTGGCAACTTTTTATACTATCAATGAACACAACTGGACAACTATAAAGGTTTGGATTAACTTACTATTTCAAAAATTTCAAGACTTCATTATAATTACTTAAATGTAATTTCTTATAGATGCTAGACTAGGAAAGCCTCCAAACATGCCTAATATCAACATAATAGATAACAAAAAAATTGCTAAATAATAACTACTAAAAGCTTTTCAGTTGTATGTACAAGTATATAATTCAACTCAAACACCAGTGAAAACATTACAATATTAACTCCAATTCTCTACCAAACTTTCTGTGATAAAGGACAAAAGTTAACTGTACAAACTAACATCTGGGTATCTGTCAATTTTTCTGGAAAGCTGTGTCATTGAGATTCAAAATGGCCTAAGTTAGCCAGAATATAATGTGAATTCTTACCACAATGCCACATAAAATGAAAGTATATTGACAACTTAGTAATTTTTAATTCTGTTCTATGGAATAAGCCTATCTTGAAGGCCTGGCACAATATTACCAAGACATTTAAACCAAAAGCTCAAGTCCAGATGTATAACTAAGAAATCTTTTCTACACATAAAACCAACTTAAATTATAAATGGTTTCCACTAATTATTACCACTCACAATTCACATAAAGTAAACAGGTGGCAGAAAATGCACTCTGAAGTATGTTCACAGTACAAAGTGATTAATTTAGCCAGCAACAATTAAAATAGGCATATATGCAACATTTGTATGCAAACTTTCATGAGTAAGATATAGAAAATGATTCATTTTGATAATTTTATGTACAGCTTATATATAATTTAAAATAATAAAACTGAAAATTTCCTATGTAAAAGCCACAATAAAGTCAAATAAAATACTAAATAACAGTCTTACAAACTGGTCTCTCTCAGGAGTTCAAGAGGATATAACTGAGTAATGTTATTTCTAAGAAATGCCCTCCTCTTGATCAATCATTTCTGCTTTAACTGAGAAGACATCTGCCAGCATATGTTTTGGAATTTCTGAACCTCTGACTTTCAAGGCATAACAAGCATTCTCCACTTTGGCCAGACTTTGTTTCAAGGTATACAGCTTCTTAGAAACCTCATAAGGTCCAGTATTGCCAATGAATGAAAACCCATCATAAACCTGACGTAAAAACTGGCTCACTTCAAAGGGGGTGTCAATGTCCCCATTCCCCACACTGTTAATACACATCCTCATCAACTCTCCAGTTAAATCGGCCACTCCAAGAAGGTAATCAACAGGCGTGATTTTCAGTCTCCAAGTACCAAACTCTTTATCGTGAGCATCAGGAGGAGGCTGGTAAAAAAAACAAAACACACACACACAAAGAAAATACATCGTGAAAAAGAATGAACATGCATGTATCACATTAATGACAAGGTACAAAACCATGAGCACATCAGCCATGCTAATCTTCTCTAAAAATGATCTATTTTGTTTAATGACCATTTGTGATGTTACAAGAGGAATTCATGCCTTGGGGAGTTTAATTAAATTAGTTCAAGGTAATTTTGAAAACTAATACTGTATCATTTAAAATCAACTACTTCCAACTTCACTTGACATACAAAATAAACCATTCTTAAACAAGGCCCAATTACTTTATTGCATGACAATCACTAACTTATTTAAATAACAAATCTCAAAGCCCTCCAAGTTTGTGATCAATTCAAGTTTTCCTAAGCCACTGAGTCCCTTTCTAGTGTTTCTTCTATCCCTACTCAGCAGTGACCATCCTCATTTATTACTCTCTAGCTCAGCCTCCTCGGTTCCTTTAGACTCCCATTTTTCTACTGAACCCAGCAAAAGCATGACCTTGAATCAATAATAAAACCTACTTCTGTTAGTCCTTTATTTCAGTGGCCGAGTCCCACTGAGCGGAAAATAATGATTACATCTATATTTGTAGTTTGTACTGCTACAAATGAGTCACCAATCCTTTTACTTCTTAGATGGTTCTCTCTCCAGTCTCCTTAAACACTATTTCAAACCTTAATCACGCTCCTTAGCCCCTACTCAATCCCAAGCCTCTCAGCAAACAATCTTGCCTACTTTCAATGGCCAGGTCATTTGCCAGGTCACGTGGCACAAGCTCTCTGAATTACCTTCTGCCTAAAAGAAAACACAAACTTACTTATGTCCACACCCATCTGTACCTTCTATCCTCCAGTCTCAGATGATGAGTGGTCCCTCCTCTTGTCTGAGGGTAACTCTTCCAAATGACCTGGGCCCATCTCCTCCCACCTCTTCCAGGACCTTGCTTCATAAGGTGTATGCCCTTGGGCAAGTCATTTCATCTCTCTAAACCTCAGTTTCCTCATCTGTAAAATGGGACAACAGTACCTACCTCAGACATTTATTTTAAGGATGTGATAACATTTACCAAGTTCTTGGCACTGTACCCAACACAAAGTAAATACTCAATGTTAGCTGCTATCAATCACCATTACCATCATCACGTAAACCTCCTTTCCCCACACCAATTTCTCACCACATATTAGATTCTTTCTGGAAGAGGTGATGCCTAAATTGTTATTAGAAGTCTATATGAGACTTAAGTGATGCTGCAATGACACTGAAGGTCATTTAGGCAGAGGGAGCTAGCTGCAAAGGCATGCAGGTGACAACTGTATGGTCTTAGTTAAGAAACTAGTGAGGTATTGCTTTTGAGTCAAGTTTAAAAGCAAGAAGTAGTACAGGATGAGTCTAGAAAGATAGGGGTGTAAAGTCACATTAAGGTACTTAAACCGTATCTATAGATAACAGAGTCATTGAGAATTAGGCAAGGAAATGACAGTCAAATTTAGGTATTACTGAGATCACTCAGTACTGCTGGGCTGCTCTTCAGAGACCATCTCGTCCAATCCTCTCAGTGTAAAGTATAAGAGATGAGGTCCCAGAAACACCAGAGGTAGTACAGCTAGTTATTGACAGAACTGGGTTAAGTGTCCAAAAGTCAGCTTCCCAATTATTCTGGTGCCTCTAAAACTACATCATGGCATACCGGTGCCTGCTGGTTTTGTTTCTATTAACTGTTAGAGAACTGGCACCTGCTTAGAAAGGGTAGGTAGACTGTAGTAGGGGGAAGAGGGCTGCAGTTCATAGGTCATTTATAAAAATCACGTTGCTTAAAAAAATACTAATGTTCTTATTTCTATCATTACACAGAAGGAGTGCCCTGGTTATAACTAAAAAGTTGATTTTAGAGGAAAAAAGAATGTTTAAAAAAAATACCGAATATCAAGGAAATAAATTCTGCTTTACTGCTTGATAATGGGAATCAGGAAAAAGAAAACAACTTAAAATGGAGATTTTCAAGATGGATCTGAAGTATTTAGGGAGGAAATATCGTGACACCTATAATCTACAGGCTTAGCAAAAAACATTTAGATGAAGCAAATCTAGCTAAAAGTTAACAATGACTGAATCCAGGTAGTTGTTTTATAGGTGTTCATGCATTATTATTTTCTCTATGTTTTAAATTTTTCATAATAAAGTTTTTAAAAATTAAATGGTTTTCACAATATTCTCAACAGGTACATGAGAGCAAAATATCTTCAGCTATCGAATTCCCACAATTTTTAGCACCAAGAATCTTTAGCACTAAAAGGAAACATTATTTATGAGTGTGGTCTTAACAATTTGAAAAGTATGTATGAATGTTATTACACCATAATCTTAAAATAACTTACTACCTAAATCCCTGGAAAAAAAAAAGCATTTCCTCTCATTTCTCTTTACTGTTTGCCCTGATATTTCCACTCTGAATTAGAGAAAACTTGAAAGGAAGCTGTGGTAACTTCCGTAATATATTTAAGCAGTAGGCCCAGCAGGGTTACCTGACCTCTTTCTATAACTCAGTCTTCATTAAATAAATCAAAATGATGAAGGAATCTTACTTCTTAAAATGAATTTCCTCCTTAATAAACTTCATATAATTTTAAAAATTGAGAAAATAATGGCTTCCTTAAAGTAAGTTTATATCTGTCATGCCAAACTAAGTCTCTCACTTTTCAATATTAATATTTTAGTTAATATTCAAGAAAACACTATCTCTACAGCTTCTTGCATCTTCTGAGTAATTTTTAAAACACGGAAAAAAAGATAAAAAAGAAAAAAACTTTAATTTTATCTTCAGTATACTAATATCTCAGGAAATATCAAATATTCAAAATCTCACCTCACTGCCTGAATATTGTATCTTGAAACCCAGGGGAAAATAGTATTTATTTAAAAGTCAAACTGCACAAGTTCCTCTTTTCTTAATTCAGAAGACCTACCTAATTTTCAGATACAAGCATCAAAGACTGAATAAGTGATTAACAGCTCTCACTATATAACAACTTTATATTAACTTTTATAATGACAACTACTGAGGAATTGTGTCATGTGCTACACACTGCCTGATTTAAAACCTTTCAATCAAACCCTTCACAACACCCTGTGCTGAGGCAGACCCCAGCACAGGGTCCCTGCAGCACTCCAAGAAACACCAGCACAGGGCACAGTTTTGCATTCAAGACACCTGGTTTCAGAGCTTGGCTGTCACCCTTATTAGTTAGTGTGTGGCTTTTAATAAGTTACTTAAACTCTCTAAAAGCCTGTTTTCTTCTTTGTAAAATGAGGGGGATAATTCTTACCTTATAAAGATAACAAAAGAGTGAAATGATATAGTGCTTATAAAGAGCACACAGTAATATACAGTAAAACCAAAACTGAACTTACAGTAAGCATTTGATCAGGTAGAGAGTAGGATTTATTGTCCCTCAGCATACCCACAACTGTTCTTGTTCTATCCACTAACTAAAATATTCAAAAAGGCCATTTCCCTAGTTGGGAATCTATGAAACCACCCTTTAGAAAGTACACTGCCATCTCAGTATTCCTACCGCTTTAAGTCAGTAAATCTCCTACAATCATTATACTGTTACATAAATGATGGAATAAATGTGAAATGCGGTTTTAAATTCTTACAGTCTTATTTTCTTTCCCATTGTCTTCTGTTGTAAACACCAATTGTTTATTAATTTCATCCATACTGATAAGTGATCGTGTTTTGATAAAGTGTTGAAAAGAGACGGCCTCCACATATTCCTGTAGTCCTGAAAAACCAACCAAGAAAATTACTGAGGAACAACCATTAAATTAACAAGAATGTCATAATAAAAACTAAAAACTTCAAATGGAGCACCACCTAGCTAAATGAGCTTAGTGGATGCCTGCTACAGCAGTCGCACCAGCTTTGATAGTCAGAGCACGAAGAATCAGCTGGGGAGGAATGGTGGGACTAGCAGTGAACAGTGAACATTTCTGTGACTGAACCACACAGAAGGCTCCAATACTGATGTGTTCAATTTCTTCTTTCTAATTCATGAGTCATTAGTTTTAAAAATCTACTCTCTTCCCTACAGAGAAAAGTCAAACATTTTTAGAAAAAAATTTTAAGTTTTAAAAAGGGCTTTATAAAAATTCTGATAGGCTTTAATAGAAACTATACAGGTTATTTTTTTATCCCGTAAGCAGCAAAACAATCAAATGAGACAGAATTAAAGATCATTTTGATCCTTCTTAAAATTCTATTAAATAAAAAACACTTTAAAGAAACACTTTAAATAACATAGATTGAAGTGTGAAAATACAAATACTGGTTTTCTCCTCACATTTCAAAATGTAGCTAAGAACAGATAACTCCTTTCTGCTTTAGTAATTTTCAGGTTAAAAAAAAAAAAAAAGCTAATGAGGAATACAATTTTGTACAAGAAGGAAATGCTATTTGGTTGGTAAACACTCAATTACAGAATTGTACACCTGAAACCTATGTAATTTTATTAACCAATGTCACCCCAATAAGGTCAATAAAAAAATTAAAGAAAATTCTACAAAATTCACATCAAACTAAAAATAAATTTGATAAAGGTAAAAAATAGTACTATACCAAGTCCTAACCCTGGGACCTGTAGATGTGACCTTATTTGGACAAAGTGTCTTCGAGGATATAGTTAAGGATCTCGAGATAAGATCATCCTGAATTTAGGGTAGGCCTCAAATATGACAGATGTCCTTATAAGAGAAAGGCAGAGGAAAATGTGGGACGGACACACAGAGGAGACGGCTAAGTGAGGACAGAGGCAGAGGCTGGAGTGATACTGCCATAAACCAAGGGTTGTGGGCAGCCATCAGAAGCAAGGAGAGAGGCGTAGATTATACGTCAAAGTCTCCAGTAGGAACCAACCCCGCTGACCCCTTGATTTCAGACTCTGGCCTCCTGAACTGGGAAATAAAATAAATTTCTGTTGTTTTAAGCAAAAAACAAAGTACTATAAATACCTTTTCAAGTGTTTTAAAACAACTAAATTCTATAGTCATAATTTTCAATATTATTTTCCTATGTTGTAACCTCTAAAGTGATACAGGGAAAAAGTATTTTTAAACGATTATCATTTTTGTCAGGTTAAGAAATTGCCTTAGTCTTCCCTGTGATGGCTTTATTGTAAATACAAGAGGAGAATGGATTCTGATTATGGAAAGAAAACTCAGAATTAAACTTAGAATCATCAGTATTTGTCTCTGTAGCACTTCATATGACAGAGTCCAGCTACTCACACAACCTCCTAGTAACTGACACTAAAAATCAGGCTGCACTGCAAGTGTTGAGGAGGCTGACCACTGTGTATCATCACACAAATGCCACACAGGGTCAGAGGCAGAAAGGGAAATGGATGACCTGATTATGACAGCAAAAAGAGGAAACAACTAAATGAAAATATCCTGATTCATTTTGAGCTGCAAATGATGTTAGGGGTCAGAAAATGGGTACCTTCAGCTAACAGAATAAGACAGGATAGAAAAGGACACTTTAATACACCACAACATGCTGAGAAATGAAACAGAGTTGAGTTTAACAAAACAGGTAACATCTTTTATATTTATAATAAAAATATTTGAAATTTTAGTTTTATGACTAGGTGACCACTCAGTTCCCTTTCCTAAAGATAATCTATATTTCTTATTTCCTTCCAGAAATACTTCATGCAAACAGTGAAACTCAAGGACCACTCATCACATTTCTAAATATGCTGAGTACGGTTAGCTCTTACGAATGAGCTAAACTAGAAGATATGAGCACAAACAGCATGTACAAGGAGGTTCATCATTACAACCATTAAAGCAAAAACTGGAAAAAACCTAAAAGGTCAACAGATGTGCCATTTGTCAACTTACTGTCTCTCAGCTTTATTATTTTGATAATGGAGGGGACCCTAAAACATTTCTCCTTTGCCAGCTGGCATGATATCACTTTGTTGGTAGAGGGCACTGGGAGGCCAGCAAAGAAAGGAAAAGCTCCTTCTTGGTTCTGGTGTGCCCCTCCTAGCAGCCTTGTAAGTGTGGGGCAACCAGCAGCTCAAGGTGGCAAGGAGCACAGGGTATCTCCCAATGGGGAGGGATGGGGGCAGCCTCCCGTGTACTACAGAGAGCGGCTTCCCACGGAGCCACCATCTTACCTTGGACAAGGAGTTTCATGGCACGGCACCTCCCCAAGGACAGCTTCCCAGAGAATTCCATTAGCTCAACACCTCAATAAACTTATCTGCCAATAGGCCACGATTCAGGTGAGGGAGGGGAATGAGGGGTGGACTCTTCCAGATTTGTTCCTTCCTTGGATGCTCTGCCTGTCTTGGGGTAGTGGCTGCTCCCCTAGCTGACACTCCAGTACTCTTAATTAGAGCTCAATTCTCCTCTTATCAGGTCATCTCCTACACAGTTAATTCTTTATATTACACTTCCCCTGTTTAAATCCCTGTGCTTCCTGTGTGGACCTGATGCACACAAAGGGAGTTAGGAAAATTAGAAAATGGTATGCTTTCTCCTTCACTCCTACTGCGGAGGACACGCTCCATCGTTCAAGGCGGGTCCCTGCCCCTGGCCCAGCATCAAGGTGCAATCCCAGCAAGAGGCTTAACCCGGATTCTCCTCCACGTACTGGGCAATCCACTTCAGGTTCTCTCCAGGATGCCTCTGGCAACCCTGCACCAGCTCGCCTCTCACCTGCCCATCAGCCCCATCTCCCCTCCACTTCAGAGCCAAGTGTCCTACAGTCGCTGCTACACCTCCTCATAACCTCATCGCACGTTCTCGGCCTGCTTCAATCTAGCCTGAGCCCCTCTCTCACCAAAACAGCCCTAACTAAGATTAGCATAAAGAATAAGTCTAAGAGACACTTTTTTTCAGTCTTAATCTTAGCAGCATTCAGTATTTTGACCACTTTTCCCCTTTTTTAAAAATACACTGATTTGAGATGAGGTGGCCATTTCTACTCCATAGAAATAAGGTTTTGTGATATAACATAAAGTTCAAGGACATCTGGCCCCAACACTAAAAAGCATTTCTGGGTCACATGTAGGTAAAAGGATGTTTAAACAAGTTATGTTTCGACTTGATGAAAAGGACATCCGCTACTTTCAGTGACTAATCCCCAAGGTGAAAATCTCAACCTACTGCCACAGCCCATCAAACAACGCCTTCCCCTTCTGCTTTCGCCTTGGATGAGATCCAGTTAGAACTATTTACAGAAACAGCTGCCAGTAAGAGAGAAGTGCAGGCCACTTTTATGTAATTTGTTATTTTCCCCTCGTTCTAGAACATACACAAGGAAACCCGATTAAAGGCTCCTGGTTATTTCTACATATTCCTATAACACTTAATACATATCCCGTCCAGGTCTCCATCAAAACCATATATACAGGTGAACAGACAAGACAAGAGCCTCCATTATAAGTTCAAATTTCATGTCTCCACTTTCTTTCCGGGCTTTTAGTGTTTCAAAAAACTGTCTGCCATATGCCCCAGCAATTCCACTCCCAGGTGTACACCCAAGACAACTGAAAGCGCATGTTCACATGAAGACGTGTCGGTAAATATTCATAGCAGCTTTATTCACAAGAGCCAAAAAGTGGAAGCCACCCAAATATCCATCAACTAATGAACAGATAAACAGAATGTGGTATCTACGTGCAATACAACAGCACACAGCCATAGGATGAATAAAGTACCGATGAGCATGCTATGACACAGATGAACGTCGAAAATATTATGCTAGCCCAGCCGGTGTGGCTCAGTTGGTTGAGCGTCATCCCATGAACCAAAAGGTCATGGTTCGATTCCCGGTCAGGGCACATGCCCCGGTTTCGGGCTCAATCCCCAGTGGGGGTTGTGCAGGAGGCAGCCGACCGATGTCTCTCTCTCACATTGATGTTTCTCTCTCCCCCTTCCCTTCTTTTCTCTCTAAAATCAATAAAAACGAAGGGAGGAAGGGAGGGAGGGAGGGAGGGAGGAAAGAAGGGAGGGAAAAGAAAATATTACACTAAGCGAAAGAAGCCAGTACAAAAGGCCACATATTGCATGGTTCTATTTATATGAGATATCTATGGAGACAGAAAGTCAGTCAGTGGCTGCCTAGGGTTAGTGGTATTAGGGTTCAGAAAGGGAGATAAGGAGTGACTCTAATAGGATAAGGGGTTTCTTTTGGGGTGATAAAAATTAGATATGGTGATAGCTGGATATCAAGAATAACAATCTTGCACTTATACTAAAAAGCACTGAATTATATAATTTAAAAAGGTTAATTTTATGTTTTGTAAATTATGTTTTTTAAAATAGCATTTATGATTTATAAGAATGCCACCTTGCCTGGCTGGTGTGGCTCAGCAGTTTAGCACTGACCTAGGATCCAGGAGATCGAGGTTCGATTCCCGGTCAAGGGCACATGGCCAGGTTGCAGGCTCAACCCCCAGTCGGGGGTGTGCAGTAGGCAGCTGATCAATGACTCTCTCATCATTGATGTTTCTATCTCTCCCCCCATTCCTCTCTCTGAAATCAATACATATTAAAAAAAGAAAAAAAAGAAAAAAGAATGCCACCTGATATTTTTCAAAAGTAAGCTTTATCAGGTCACCAAAATGTTAAAGTAAAATAAGATCTAGGTTTGATTCATAGACCACTCTACTAAAAATCTAACCTCAAATACATAAATCATACATCAAAAATATTTATATCTATAGACCTCAGTATTGTGGAGTATGTACAATTGCACTACCAATAGTAA